ACACACACACACACACACACACATACACACATATATATATATATATATATATATATATATATGGTAAAGTGGCAAAAAAGTCCAAAAATGAAATAAATGGGGTCAATATGACACATTAGCTTCAACTAACAGAATAGTTAACGTCGGGGGGTTTTGTAGTTTTTGATACTATAGGGGGTGAATGCGACATTTTCCATAGTACAGGGGTGCAAAGTGTATTTTACCTTTTAATAAATGATTTTCTTTTAGCAATTAAATTATTTTCAATAATGTTTAATAATCTAAAAATATTGAATCATTAGTCATGGATTAGAATTTAAATACTTATTATTCATATGAAATAAAAATGTAAAATGTCTAGATATTTTTTTTAATAAATGATTAAATTGAACTAGGTGTTTAAAAGTTAATTAATCAAATTAGGGTTAACTGCAAAAAATCCCCTAAAACTTTGGACGTTTTTGCAATTTATCCCTTGAACGGAAAAAAGTTGCACGAGCATACCTGAAATTAATAAATTGTTGCACTGACAGCTAGAAATTCTATTTTTAGCCAAATTCTTCCCTGAATCGCACACGTGCAATTGACACGTGAAAATAGAGAGGCAAATTCGCCATCTCACAAGGTTTTTAGAAAAAAACGAAAAAAGAAAAACGACAAAAGAAAATTAAAAAAATAGAAAAAGGAAAAAAAAATGGTCATCTTCTTCCTCATCCTCTTGGCAGCCGAACAGAGCACGCGAATTTGACCACACACAATTCAAAGACCACCACCACCTCTGCTCAACAATTATGAGGGTTAATCTAGTAAAATTTGAATATACATTAATTGTTCAGTTATCAAACAAGTTTAACCATTCAACATTTAGTATTCAGACATCGCTATTAACAATTCAGTCACGTATTCAGTATTCAGTGTTCAATGCTTAATTCTATCAAACATAACATTAGCCTCTTAGGAGCCATAGTTCCCTGAGGGGTTGTTCAGGAGCTGGCAATTTGGTAGCTTTCAAGTGGTGAGTTGCCACCCTTAGAACTCTTGATCTCTCCTTTTTGTTTCACCATATTCTCCTGTAATTTGGCTTGAATTATGGCATGGGCCGAAGTCATTGGTCTGGTCATATTGACCATGTAAAATATACTTTATTCATGTATTATATATTATTAAGTTATTATACTACTTAATATAAACAAAACGACGACGTTAATTTGTATGACGGGCGCAACGGGTTTTATAGCTATTAAAAAAAATTGACCCCGTCTTATACTGAAACACGGGAATCTTCTTCATTTAAGAATCTAATATTATTGATGGATCTATCCATTTGGTCCCAGCGGGATGATTTTTCTCAGGCTTGATGGGCTCAACAGGTTGGTGAGTCCGACTTGCTCACTCCTAAGAAAAATAAAGTAGATAAAAATATCAAAGACAATGTTTGGAACAGTTTTGTGAGTTATTTTTATTTTATTTTGGGGAATTATATTTTGAGAGAATAATTGGATAATGAAAGTGATTTTGTTTATACTTTAAAATGAGACAAAATAACTGTATTAGTGAAATTATATTTAAAGGTGCTAGAAAAATGTATGGTATAAGAACAATTTTAAAAATAAAGTGATGTTTGTTTGTTTTTTAGCGAAATCAATTTTCACTGTAGCAGTCAAGTCATTTTATTGTAGCAGTCACATCATGTCTGAAGGATAGATAAACTTTAGGAGTCCGTTTGGATGGACGGATTTGGGCTTGGACGCATTCTAAATCCGATGTCCAAAACCATTACCTCATTTGTGCCACAACTTAAATCAATGACCCATTTTTTGACAGATTTCAAATCCTTCAATAAGCCCGGTCATTTGAAATCCACTGTTTCCACATCTTCAATCGAATTAGGGAATTCTATCTTCTTCAACCTTCATATTAGGGATTCCTCTCTTCTTCAATCTTCGATCTTCTAGCAAGGGGATATTTCTCTTCACCTACGGCACTAACCTGCAGCCTTCAACTTCGGCGTAATTGTCTTTTTCTGATTGAAAACCCATACGCTCACTTCTCTATATTTAAATGTAATTTGTTTATGCTAATTTTTATATGTCATGTTTATGTAGAAGTAGAATTAGGCACAATTACCTCCATGATAGTATTTTAGCTCGGTTAAGTTTCACAAAATATAGGGTTCATTTGGACATTTTATGCTAATGTAGTACATATTTGAAGCCTATAATATCCAACTATAGCTTATGCTCTATTTTCTCATTTTCTTTTTGGTAAGGCCCCTTTCATTTTTGTTTTTTGCCTGTTAGGAGGAATTATGTAATTTCTGGATTTTTTTTTTGTTTTATATTTAAATTAATCGTTGATTTTTTGAAAAATCATGATAGTCGTAGATTTATTGTACTAGGTAGAGTTTGGTTAGTTCGTTGCATCTTGTTCGTTTTCTACTTTCAAGCAAATTGTTGTACTTTTGAGTATTATTAGCAAAATGAAATAGGGAGGTGTAATTTCAAAAAAGCTAGACATGGAAGCTCTCAATGTTAACATGTCAACTAGTGGTCACATTAGGTAAGTTAACATTCATTTTTAATATGCAAAGTTGTTGCTGACTTTATCAAAATTTTATTTCGCTGAGGATGTTAGTGAATCTTCACATCTGAATTTAAATAATTCTCATGTTAAAAGCTTCTTCTTTGTGTTGTGTGTTCGCATAGGATTAAAATCTTTGTGAAAGTTCAATCTTGATAAGCAACACTAGCTGGATATTTTAATCGTGTTCTGATCGTTTTTTTTTTCTTCTTGAATGGTTATTTGCAGCACCCAAGTATAAGAAACAACCACATGTTTCTTGGAACAAAAAGGATGTACAATCATTTGGCAATAAATTTGACTGGTCAAATGGCTCCAGGAAATGAATGTGATGGTGATACCTAGGCTAATTGGGGTTGAAGTGTTTAAATGGTAACTAAGAAAAATTTAATTTGTTGAAAGCTCTACCGGGTAAAAAGAAAAATGAGTTGATTTATAATCTAGTTTACTCTTTAATTGTTTGTAGGTTTTAATTTTATTTGGCTACAGTTCTTATTGTGGTTACCGATAATCTTTTTAGTTGAATTTGTGTGTGTTTATAGTGTTATTATTTAATGAAACTCGTCAGATATTTCTCATAAGTTCTATTGTAACATCACATTTGTAAAATTTGAAAACATTTATAAAACTAATTCAAGAGTTTAACTCCACTAGTGAATTTGGTTTGTACAAATCCTCGTGTATCAAAATAGGGGATTTTAAATGGTATGAGTTTCAAATCCGAGGTATTTCCATTCGTTTGAAATCCTCCAATCCAAACGGGCCCTGGGAGTTGTTTTGAGAATTTCTCTTAGAAACCTTAACAAATACGAATTTTTTTTGTGGAAAAAATTTGAGTGAGATGAAAATGTAACTTATCTACTTTGTTCTGCACGTGTAAACAAATTAGACATCCGATAAAATTGGCCGAAGTGTAGAATCGAACGAACCAAAATAGACAAGACAAATTAAGCCCAATAAGTCCAGATTAAATAACTAATGGTGATGTCCCATTTGATGAGCCCAACCCAATTTGGAGATGGATAAAGTGGGTCGGGTCGGATCGGGTCATGACCCAAATTAAACCCCACCAACCCGAGTATTTCGTAACTTGTCACTTGTTTCTTGTTTCAGTCTTATAAATTCTCAGTCAGTGTAGAATAACTCATTTTCAGACAAAAAAAGAAAACCCTAGAAATTGAGAGAGGAGAAAATGCAGGAGAAGAAAGAAGAAATGGCTTCCACCAAAACTCCCAAAAAGACAAATCTTTTGGATCATAATTCTATCAAACACCTGCTCGATGAGTCAGTCACCGAGGTTCGTACGATTTCACACGCTCATCAATCAATTTCTGTTTTTTCCGATTGTTTTTTCTTTTTTATTTTTCTTTTCTGCTTTTGGTTCAATTGTAATTCAATTGTGTGTTTTTTGGCGGCTGGAATTGATTTTGATGTTTGATTTTATTTATTTATTATTTGATTTTTGTTGTTGGGATATGGTAGATCGTGACGAGCAAAGGGTTTCCTGAAGATAATAGGATGAGCAACATTCGTTTGTTGATTGGTGTGGTCATCATCGTCATTGCACTTTTTGCCCAGTTTTACAACAAGAAGTTTCCCGAAAATCGCAACTTCCTCCTCGGTTGCATCGGATTATATCCTTTTCGTGGCGTTGTTCCATTAATTTTAATATTTTTTTTTAATTTTGAAAATAGTAATCGAATCTGTTTGTAGCAATTTTCTGTTTTCTGGCCGCTTGCCTTTCTCTTAAATGTGTATACAAAATTAATAAGGTTTAAATTTTGGAGAAGGCATTAGCAATAGATAGTGGATCAAAAAGTTTGTTAGGAATTTTATTCCGGGGGTGAAATAATTGGAAAAGTGGCTGAAAATATATGGATGGATCTCGAAGAACTTATCTTTTGCTTTAATGGTGGTTTTAGATAATTAAAACATTAAATATCAATAAAAAAAATAGATTTTGTGGTTGTTCTTGCTTTAGGGATCACGGAGAATGTCATTTCAAGCGGTTTATCGATTTATGTTTTCAGGATTCCTTTATGTCTCCATTACAAATTGTATTATTTGTTTGATCTTTGACGCGAACAAGTATGTTGTATTCAACGGGCTGTTACAACTCATCATATACATGAAGGAGAAGAATGCCATACTATTCACCTATGCTCCATCCGTAAGTTATCACTATTCTCTTTGATTGAATTTTCTGCACATGGCTTGTATTATTTCAGATTCGTTTTATACTAAGTTAGGAATTTTTAGTGGTCAATGTTTTTATCCGTTGCATATTAAGTCCTGTATTTGAATTGGTTTATGCAATACTTTATGCACTTGTTGACATTCTAATTATGCCTAATTGATGATATTTTTTTGTTTAATATATTGGTGCTGAGCATGGAAATGGTTTTGGTATTCTGTCATATTATGCTTTGTTCTTTGCCTGAAATTATGTTTCTGGAATTGGAATATATTCAAAAAATGAGATACATATATAAAATATCGTCTTTATTTGATCACTGAACATTTATGGAAAAGGAATGCTTTGGCATCCGATTTGAAAAGTTCTTTCCATTTTTCGGTTAATTATATTCATTTGCCCATGTCATTAATTGGTATTACGGTCACCAACCCAAGGTTTAATCTCATTACAAAAACCTATCTTGTCTGAGCTTTACAATTATCCCACTGAGTTTTGTAATTGTCTTACAAATTTACTCTTACTGCGTCGCTAGTAATGGAATGTTTTAGATTTCAGGGAATGTATGTTCTTATGAAAGTTCTAAATTTACCCTTTGGGTCAATTGTAAGATTTTACATTTAAAAGGGTTCAAAAGTAATATTTTAATAAATGTTCATTATGGTTGTGGCAAAATAATTTGAGTCTTTTTTTTATCAGTTACAAAACAATTTTGTGTCTCTTTTTAATTAGTACTCAAAAAACTTTGAATAGCATCTGATGGTTTATAGTTTTCCCCAATTTTTCAAAGGAAACCTGATGGATTGTAAAATTTAAATTTAGTGTTTGAATATTTTTTTTATTTAATATTAGTTAGTTAAATCATGAAAGCAATGTTTTATTTTTTCATTTTAAATGATCGAGAAGAATAGCATCTATCTATTTTTATATCAACGTATTGATATAATTGTAGTTTCACCAAAAAAGATGGGGATATTTGTAATTCAAGCATACTTTAAGGGTTTCTTTGTGATTTATTCTATTTCTTTTTTTATGAATAATTTAAACATTTCACGAATTCCATTAGGAGTTTTGACGGACAATTATTTTGAGGGGGTAATTTTAGTTTCTTCAACAAAGGGATTTGATATAATCAAACCAAATTTTTGGGGTGATAACCGTAATATATCCTTAACGAATTTGCCAAATCACAAGGTAACCCGGAAAACTTTATCTGTGTAAAACACCTCTCATGAACATCATTGAATTTTTGTAGCATATTTTTTTGGATCTTCTCATTTTCTTTTTTCGGTTGGCTCGAGATTTGGTAACAATGTACGTAGAAATGCAGGACAAGGTTAAAACAGTCATAAATTTAGATCTATTAACTACATTGCATCTCCAAGTTCTTCCTTGATACTGATTCTAATTGATAATTTGACAAATTTGGCTTAATATACACGATGCTGATTTCAATTTGTGACAAATTGAGTTGTATGTGTACCTGTTTGTGTGGCTAAAAACACACGAGATAGCATTTGTTTTTTTCAAAACTTAGATAAACCTGAAATATCTATTGAATTTTTTTCCGACAGGGATCTTTCAACTCGACAGGGTTAATTGTAACTTCTAAGCTGCCAAGATTCTCAGATATGTATACCCTTATCATAGCAAGTGCAGATCCCCAGTCGATATCTGCAAAAGCACCGGTTGAATTCACCAAAAGCGTGACTCAGTGGTAATCTTTTTTAATAAAAATAAGAAAAATATCTTCTTTCTCTCCCCACTTAGAAGTATTTGGTTTTTGGTACTGATCTCGTGTTTGTTTGTAGGTTCACCAAGGATGGAGTTTTGGTGGAGGGACTTTTCTGGAAGGATGTTGAAGGACTGATAAACGAATATGCAAAAGAAACTAAAAAGAGCAAATAGAGAGTTTGTTAAAACTTGCATTTATATTATGGTGAGTCATTCTTGGGAGAACGATACATATGCAGAACTACTAGTTTATGGTAACTGAAACTAATTTTACTCTCTTGTATCGACTTTATTTTTAATTGAATATCATTGAATTTATCCTGGATAACTTTTGGGGAGAATTTGGGTGTTATATCTGTGGTTTGCATTGGCCTAGTTGATGATGATATTCTAAGTACCTTTCTTTTTCTGTATCATTGAATTCGGTTTCTGGTTAGTTCACTCACAAATATGCACGCACATCCGTAGTTGTCATTTTTAGTTCTTTGTGATCAATTACGGGTTTTGAGATTAAGTATTGATAGTTATAGGTTGCCACCTCTCCACAAATTTTGATGTCATTGGTTTTGTGATGGGAGTGGTTGAATCCGTCAAATGGTAGAGGTCGATTCTTCGATCGGAGGAAAATCGAACATCTAGAATGGAAACAAACAAAACTGGTTCATAACAAATAAATTACATAATATAAAGGGCAGCTAAAATTGGTACCAAAATTTTCTCACTTTAATACCTCTTTAATACATATTTTATAGAAGTCTTTACATTTTTTTCTTAGTTTAATACCTTCAAATAATTTTTTTTATTAGCAATACTAAAACACTCTTCCTCAAACAAAATACAATTTATGCAAATAAATTTTGTTTCCTCTCATTTAAACGATTTCCTCCCTCTCTTCTTCTCCCCCAAACTCGATAAACCCTCTCTTCTTCATCTTCTTACGAATCCTCCAAATAATCTTAAAATTCAAAAATAAAAACATCACAAAACTTATAAAATGGAGTCACAAAACAACGAAATTGTAGTTTACATGGAAGGAGAACCCACTAAAAATATGTATCTATGTCTTTTTAGAGCTTGGAAGTCGATTTTGAAGTTTTTTTGTTTGAACTCCCGCCAGTTTTCAACACATACATGTCTAGACTTTTTGTCAAGTTTCGACACCAACTTGTCGAAAAATATTAAGAAAAAATAAATAAAAAAATAATAATTTCAACACATACATGTCAAAAACCACACATTGGGCAAATCTCACTTCAGGACATCACTTAAATGTGATATTCTTCTTAACAATCTGTCGGAAACCTTCAATTCGATTATATTGGATGCTATGGCTAAGCCATTGCTTGGAATGGTGGAGACAATCAGAATATATTTGATGAAGAGGCTGCAATCTAGGAGGGACTACATCACAAAGTATGCAGCTCCACTTTGTCCAAAAGTGCAGAAAAAGTTAGAAAAAATGAAGGATGAATGCAGAGTATGTATTGCTAAGCATGCAGTGGATGAAAAAAATGAAGTGATGGATATTTATGGTTCCAGATATGTAGTGGATAATGATATAACAATACACGTTCTTGCAGAAGATGGGACTTAACAAATATTCCTTGTACACATGGGATATGTGCTATTGCATGGTCTGGGAGAATTCCAAAGGTATATGTTCATCAGTATTACTCGAAAGAAATGCATATATGAGCTATAAGCACATCATATATCCAGTCAAAGGTCCGCAATATTGGCCACAAACTGGAAAATAGCTGTTAGTGCACCTGGACAATTAGATTATCTGGTAGGCCTAATGCAAGAAAAAGAGAAGTTGATGAACATGGTCATTCTACCAAAGAAAAGCTGAAAAAAAGGGTTAAAAATTTCTTTATTACAAGGTATGTGGTAAAGATGGGCAACAACACACTAACATGATCTTCTAAAAAGAAGAAAAGAAGGGAAAATGATAGTACTCCATCAACTACTCATGTGACCGCAATAAATTGTACTAGTAATAGTATCGTTTCAATGAGTGTTGATGCGATTCTTGGTCAAGTAAAAGAACCACATAAAAAGAGGAAGATCAAGTGTAGTGTATGTTTCAAAGAGGGCCATAGAAGAAATAAATGTGATGCTCCAGCAGCAAAAATTTGGAGAAATCTTGATTTTTATGCTCCTAACCACCAGTACATGCCACAAGAAGAACCAGAGTTGCATGTATTAGCACAAGAAAATGTGAGTAAATTATTTTTCTTTGTGTCAGTCAGTATATGTATTTAGTAATAGTTTACTTTAAGTAATTATTCACTTTTTGTTGTTCTTGATATATGTGGTTCAATATGTATACAAAGTACTATTACAGGGGCAAATTCAAGCTTACCTATTATCAATATTGGGGGAGCTTCACTTAAGACGGATTTTATTAAGCATGGCAAAAGATGTGTTACCTTAAAATTATTACAGGGTTTTGCAAAATCAGAGTTGAAAAACAAAAACTAGGAGAGTGAGTACATTCACTAGATAAGTTGTATTTTTTTTAGGATAAATACGAGGTACTTTTGATTTCATTGGTTATGTTTTGATGCTTGAATTTTGTTTGTAAAAAAAGACGTCTGATAGTCATGATTATTTCATTAGCAACGGCTTGTTACTAGGAAAATATATTGTAATATATTTAGAATAAAAAAACAATTTTCCCATTGTTTTTTTTCCTTGTGTTGTATTTCATTGCATTATTTACTGTACAAACCTTATTTTCTTATATTTTTATACTTGCAATGAAATAGATTTTTTTTAGAGTAAATTAGAAAAGTAAACTGTCCATAATATCCTTATTCTTAATTGATTTGACTGACTTTCAATTAGTAGTTAACAGTAGTTAACAAAAATGTGAAAGTAAAGATGAGAATGAGATGGGTTTGAGAGATGAGTGCTATAGTGGTACATTTGAGAGATGGAGACTACAACGGGATGAAATCTAAAGATGAGGGACTAACAAAAGGATTTAGCCCATACATATTTCAACTTCGACCCAAGAAAGTTAAAAATTGGAATTTTCAGGATTCATGATAAAAAAGAAATTTATTCCAAAACTGTTTAAAAAAAAAAATCGGAATCTGCAATAATTGAAAATTTCCATTCAAATTTTCACAAGTAACTCCGAGTCACATAAACCCAATGAAAAAGTCAAGTGCGTTTTCTTGTCTTGATCACTTTCTCAGTAAACTTTCCACCTTCGTTTTTTGAACTAGTAAACTTTCCACCTTGCAAAACAACAAAATCAAAGGTTCAATTGGACATTAGAAAAACGAGTAGTATATTTGCCTACGTTTCAAAATACAAAATCAAGCTGTTGGAGAAATATATCATCTGCAATACGCCCTCTCAAGTGCGGGGGAATACATTTTAAGTCTAGCACTTGAAATATTTGAAATGGGTGGCTGTGGGATTCGAACAAGACCTTTTCATTTGGCCTTACTCTGATACTATGTTGAATGACCATCTCACAAAACGCTTAACATGTTAGTGAAATGTATTATTTAATATTAATATCTTTAATAAAATCATGGTCCCATTATAAATGCATTTTCTGGAATTCAAATCAAGATCTCATATACATTTCAATAATTCAAAATTCCGTTGAAATTCTCACAAGTAACTTCGAGTCGCAAAATTCAGTGAAAAGGTCGAGTGTTTTTCCTTACTTGGTCACTTCCTTCCACTCTGCAGAATGACAAAATCAAGAAAGATAGGGAAGAACCAATAATAACATCATATAAACAAGCCTATGTCACTGAAACTAGGTGCTCTATAATGAATAAACACCAAGCAAGAATAGTGAACCTTCAATTCAAAGTTTTAATTGGATAGAGTAATGAGTAGTATTTGCGTACCTGCCATAAATAAAGGATAGTAATACTGATCCACCATAATACTGTTGGGGATCGTGCATGTATACGCAGCGGAATTTAAAATTTTAGATCGAACTAGTTTCGATTACATGCATAAACTAATCACATAGTCAACGTACTTTAACGCTTCCGTCATACATATGGTAATTATCGATTTAATTGAAAAATACATAAAACCGAAAATCACGAAACATGCTTATTCATCATTCAATGAAATCGAAACACGTAATCACATATTACTCACAATCATAAATTATAATTCATACAAACATGCTCGAATTAATTTACGATAGTTTCGATTTATTTACCTCTTGTAGCGTGAGATTTCGACGAATCGAAACCTAAAACGAATCACGTACAAGCTGCAAATTACCAATCCTCGGGGCTGCAACTCACGACTGGAACAAGCTGATCCAGCAAGCGACGAGCGGCGGTGAATGGCAGCAGCAGCGGCGGCGCGTGAGCGGCGTAGCGGCGCGTGCGGCGGTGCGTGGATTCGTCGGGGCAGCAGCTCCTCTCCAATTAGGTTTCACCTCGTATTTTCGACCCACTCGAACTACAGCACTAGATGTAAACGAGTTAGATAACAACACGAATAAAACGAAGGAAAAAGAGGAGAAAACCGGCGGTTTTCCGGCAATGGTCGGCGGTGGCGCGGCGGGGCAGCAACGGCCGAAGGGGAGAGCGGCTAGGGCTTGAGTGGCTAGGGTTTTGTGCTGAAAATCTGATCTCAAACTCTTGTTTGAGGTCTATTTATACTTAGGGTTTTCAACCCTAGTGGGCTTAAGTCATTGGGTTTGACCCACTGATGCATTAAGCCCATTCCCTCGTCGGCCTCGTTTCTAATAAACGATCGTCCACAAAATTATAACAAAATTATATTTGTGACGAGCTCAAAGTCCTCGTCGATACGAGTGCCTCTTCGAAATTTCCAATTTCCAAAATTGGAAACTTCCACTTTAGTGGACTTGCTAAATCGGGAAACTTCCCAATTTAGAAAGTTCACTAAATTCCGCATTTCTCTCTTTCTCCACGTTTATTCCAATTCGCAATTCACAATTATGAATCTTGGATTCAATCATATCGACATCCAATCGTTCAAAGATTAACACATTAATCTATGCTTGTTGTTATCAAGGATCTATATTACACGAGAGGTGTGACCCTCAATGGTTCAGGTGTATGCTAGCCGTGGGCTCACTACTCTTTGTGATTCGAACAACACATTGTTCTTATACGAACTCCTCCCAAGAGTCCCGATTAGAGTAAAACTCATTTTACCTAATCCCCGATCAAGTCGGTGCCCAACGAATCAAGATTGGCGTCTAGCAACTACGCATCATGATTCCCTAGATACAAGTGAAGTGCCTGCAAGAACCTTATGATATAGTTAGCGTACAGTACGATCCTTTCGCAGCACATGTCCCGATTGAACTAGAGGCATTGGTTCACCGAGACCTCTTATAAAGTTCAATAACCGTGCGAACGTTCTAGGTATTATAAATCCGTTCG